AGGAGTGCAGGAAATCTTCTATAGTGATGCACTGTCAGCGTTCATGCTCTGGACAGGAGTGCAGGAAGTCTTCTATAGTTATGTACTGTGTTCAGGCTGTGGGCAAGAATCCGAAGAGACTCCCGGTCCACTCAGTTAGGAATGCAAGGCCAGATTCAAAGGGCTTCAATCTGACCCCCTCCCACAGCCGTGGGAGTGAAGAGGACGCAGCCCCTCCCCGGCGGAGCCTACGCGGAGGTGGATCTCGAATCCCAGGCCGCTGCTCCTCCTTCCCCATGAGGCGCACTAGAGGTTAGCTGGCGTTCCTCTAAATCAGAGGCTGCCATGGCTGTACAGCTCGTGATCTTGTTAACGTGGCGAAGAAGAGTCACTATTCTATTAAATTCATCTATAATAATCACATTTACGCTGCGGAGCCGAGTCTCTGACAGATGGTCCGCTTTTCCCATCAGACAGCTAGCCAGCGGCTGTCACCCAGCGGGGCCAGTGAGTGATAGGACTGTACACTGAGGTGACTACCATGAACACCATTAAAAGAAGGCGCTCCACTGGTGTGTCCCCGTGTATTTATTACAGCACGGAGCGCTTTTCAGCGATCATGGCTTTAATGAGTTATTCCTCTCTGCTGTGCTGTGTGCGCTACCCCCCTTCCACACAGGCAGCAGATCATTAAAGGCCAAGGGATTATAGCTCAAGAACCACGACGCATGTCTGAAACCGGCAGAAAATCCCATTCGGAGCGTGAAATATATGTGTGGAAGCAAACGTGAGGGGCATTTATCACACAGCGCAGGCAGGGATGGGGGGGGGGGGTGGATTGTCAGGGCTTGTGAAGTTGGCAGGGGGCAATAAGAATGCATCTGATTCTGCAGCGAGCCTGTTAACCCTCTATCTGCCTGCTCCTTTTTTTCTGCAGCCTGGTGGTGTGTTATTTTGTGACAGGTGGAGGAGGGGAGAGGGGAAGGAACATGTATCGTTGTTCCATTGTTCCATGTTCCTGGAGAACTGGGTGCTCACCAGAGGAATGCGCAAGATCGGGGGCAGTTCTGCTCCGATGTAAAATTTGCTTCACGCTTCCCTAGGTACAGATGTCCCAGGGCTGGGACAGTGCTGTTTAAGGGTCGGTCTCTGATATGCTGACTCCTCCTCTGCTTGCTGCTGTATGGGGTCTGGGGTCGGCTGGGAAGGGTCAGCGCGCCTGTAACCGATGGAATCGCTGACTGAGACCTGACCGCTGGCGAGCAGAGGGCAATAGGATTGCAGTGCAATCACAGCAGACACACTTGGACAGTCGTATTCAATCTGCACACTTTCGTTTTGCAAGATTTCAGATGCAGAAAACACACTGACGGATTAACACACAGGAGACTGCGATAAATGGCAAGCCTGTAGAAATCATCAGTTAATCTAACACAACAAATTAGTCTCTGTCAAATTGCTTTGACAGAGACCGGTGTTTTCCTCCTGTGTTAGAGGATGTGCAGATATTTTGTAGTCCATGATAGTGTCTCTGAACCTCAGGTGAGACTTCTGGCTCCCAGTGACAGTGTATAACAATGTACTTCTTAAGACATGGCTTTGGAATTTTGTTTTCCAAGAAAACCCTGCTAGGATCACTTTGAGCAGAACTTATTCTTGGAGAGGTCTTGCTGATGTTTGAGTAAGCTGAGCCTGTGTGTGTGTGCTACTGCCTGTGACCCACGAATCCAACACACCCCTGGCAGTAACAGGCTGATTGGCATCTGGGTTCTGTCTGCTCTCTGTTGCTGCCCATCTTCCAGAGAGAGCGATGAGGGTGAATTTCACAGGTAGCTGTTTGCTCACATGAGGCCAAGGAAAAGCACACTTGTGTTTCGCTTGCCAGAGGAACTGGAACAGCAGAGAGGTTCTTGACACAAGCAGCGGCAGGTTATGTACTGTGAGAAATATGAGCTCTCTGCCCGGAGTGTATCGTACAGTATGTTCAAAGCAGATGTTATTCAAGGTGCCTTGCGCACACACACACAAAGGACAATCTCAGCTCAGCAGGGCACTGAAATAGCCCGGTGGCAGTTTTGTTTTTTTTTTATTAAAATAGAATGTAAAAAACTAACTTATTACTTAAAATGTCAATGCAGTAGCAGAAATTCTTGCATAAGTAATATGAATTTTGTGTGGCTATGCAGTAGGATTCCTCTGCCTTTCAGAATACTGTGCAAATCTTTGAGTAAATGTAAATTTCTTCCCACTGTCGCACTCTTTAAAGCCGTACCATTTAGAGTTTTAAACCCCTCATTTCAACTGAACAAATTTAAACAAAGCTGTTGAAATAAACCACTCCTGACATCGCAAATTGCTCTCGCCATGATCTGGGAAGACAATCTTTCTCCCTCTTAGCATGCATTAAAAATCTAATTAGACATTTTAAAACCTTAAAAGCTTTTTACGTTCTCTTCTCTCTTTCCTCAATCCTAAAACTAATTTAAATGTGTCATGTTCTTGCAAATACGTGTCCCATATGTTAGGCGATAATGAACTAATCATATCGGCTGTGGTGTCCTGCTGATTTTAAAGAGGTGTCATTTCATCTTTAATCGAGAGGAACGTTTTAGGTACAAGCTGCAATTAAACAAAAATGCAAAGCAGGCTAGAGTGCACTGAGGGGACTAAGGTGCTGTCAGAAATTCCTACCACTTCCCAATGTTGTCCATGTGAAAATAGAGATTTGGACAGAGATTTGCATTGTAAGGTTATTTAGTAGCATTTAGTCCCATGAATCCAAGTGGATTAATATTGGATTTTGGGGGGGTGGAAAGCAAAAATTGAGTCATATAAGGTGTGGTAGCCTGTCTTCTGCAGATTTCTCCGAGATTGCTGAGTTCATCAGCGGCTCTTATAACGCACTCAGTGTAGTGTTGTATAAATATTGACACCTTGCATCCTAGATGATTGAGTTTATTAGATCTTCCACTTTCCAAGATGTTTGAGGGCATACCATACAGTATTAGTTTCTAATACTTTTCCATGCTTCAGATGGGGAATTAAAGCAAGTTGCGGACAGGCTGTGGTTATTAAAAATCACATTGCATTGTTCATAAGAATGCCACCTCGAGGCTTGAAATCTAGCCTCTTTAAATTCCACCTTTACTTGAACCTGCAAAGTCATTTCCTTATTTTTTCACATAATCTGCTATTCAGTAGGGCAGCCGGCACAGACTAGACTGCAGAACGTCACCCAGGCATGTGCTAGCCTATTGTAGAGGCTGAAGAGTTTCCCCTCCTGTATTGAAAGCACTGAGAGAATCTTCTGGGTGAAAGAAGGGGTCAGTACCGTTGCGATAGGATAAGTAAAAAGTTCAGTGATCCACAGCTGCCCCCCTCCCCTCTCTGTCTCTCCGGCTCACAGGTGCCCGTTCTGCAGCCCATGGACCTCATGGTGGAGGCCACGCCCCGGAGGGTGTTCTCCAACGCCCACACGTATCACATCAACTCCATATCCGTCAACAGCGACTACGAGACCTACATGTCCGCCGACGACCTGAGGATCAACCTCTGGAACCTGGAGATCACCAACCGCAGCTTCAGTATCCTCCTCGGTGGCCACACTCAGGGCCAGAGCATGATGGAGAGGCTACGAAGGGCAGCTCAGGCCTATGTTTTGCTCAACCCCCCCCCAAGAGAAACATGCTTGATTCCTCTTGATTCCTACTGGTGCCGATGGGCAGACTGGAAAGAGATCTCACTTTTGAAGTCAATGCACCATTAATTCCAATCTGACCACATGGATCAGAGCCGTGCCGTGGTGCCAGATTAAAAAAGAAGCGGTTATTATCTATTAATCTATGTACCCACTTCTTAAACATTGAAAATAGAGTCGTAAAGGTTTGGAGCAACAATATATTCTTTTCTATGCTACCCAGAAATTTCTGTAACACAGTTGCAGTAGGATTCAAGAAATGGGCTCCAGGTTGTGGAGTGATGTAAGGGAGAGACAGTAGGCTTAACTAGCTCATTGGGTTGCCATGAGTTAATTGATTCAACGATCCAGCCTAGCTGTTTCTTGAAAACCATCAGGGTTACACGCAGATGGACCGCATGTTCAACACTCCAGCAACCTTTCATGTAAAGAAGTGTCTCCTGTTCCAGGTTTTTAAAGGACTCCCCTAAACTCAGTCCTGTAGTTTCCACTTGTGACAGTGATATATTTTTATAATGTGATGACTAACGCTGCACAACTCATTAGTAATGCATCGTTTAGAATACAATTTAAAACAACATTTTATTTAAATCCCACTTTTATAAGTATGTAAACACCAACAAAGTGAAAAGTGTGCAGTGCTTTCACTGTGGACACAGGGGATATTACACCAGCAGTCCTCTTCCTGTCTCTTAGCCACACGCACATCTACACCACCGATCGCCATTGATTTCCACTTTGCAGGTTCTTGTAAATTAGGTAAAGTGTTTATCAATGATGCCTGAGGTTTAAATGCTAAAGGCATCCATATTGAGCATCAGCTTGAATCAACTGCTGTAAAAAGCCCATGGCAGAAAGATACAATTTCAGTGGTAATTCTCTGGATGCTGTTTAGCTGCTGAAAGATTGTCTTTTTTAAAAGGTGCTGCCATTTTCTGAGAGACTTTATGCTGCTCAATTCCGGCTAGCAATGGTTTCCTGATCTTTTCTCGGCTCGCTGTGTTATCCAGTCCTTAGATTATTCTGCTCTCAACAGAAGCAACTGAGACACACTGTAGGATAATTATCTATTATAATATGACATTATTAGGGCTGATTATGGTCTTACAAAGACCATAGACTAGCTGTGCCCAAGGCTGTTGGAAGCCTCATTTACATTTGCATCAGGCATCCAAGGTGACGTCTTCATTGCTACCTCTGTAACATTCACTTTCATCTTCCTGTATACGATGTAGAACACATGGAACATGCAATATAAAGAAAAGTCACAATCTCAGATGAATAAGGCATGAATGTGCAATGGAGAACTATTATTAATACTTCATGAAGGTCCTGCTGTACGGTGACTGTGGTGAGCCGACGCCCTGCTGTACGGTGACTGTGGTGAGCCAAGGCCCTGCTGTGCCATGACTGTGGTGAGCGAAAGCCCTGCTGTACAGTGACTGTGGTGAGCCGAGGCCCTGCCGTACGGTGACTGTGGTGAGGGAAGGCCCTGCTGTACGGTGACTGTGGTGAGG